GGGCAGCAAAAAAGTTAGAGCCGGCCCTGGGGATTGGGGTTTTTTTTGGTATCACAAACGTCAAAATGAAACATCTCAACACTTGTGAAAGTTTTTTCTTCCCCCAAAGATTAGTCAAGTTGGGAGATTCATCAAATCTGACCCTGTTCGCAAACAGTTTCCGTTTGGAAGCATTGGCGGTTTTTGACCAAAAAGGTTCCCAATCAGCCCTACGGGTGGATGCTCTGCTGGTGGGCAGGGCAGGGCAGGACTGGGAGACAGCCTAGCCTACCCCACCTTCCCTGCTGGGAACCTCCGCTCCTCCCGCACTGGCCTCTGGGAAGTGCCCACCTCTCCCCTCTGCCATGCCTTGTCCCCAGAGAGGAAGCAGACCAGATTGTGACAGCAAGAGGGCAGGAGCTCAGAAGTGGCTCAGTGGGGGGAAGGCAGGCTAGCACTTGGAGGACACACACACACGAGATGGGTATTCTGAGCTGCTGCACCTTGACATAGTCACCTTTGCACAGCCCCAGTGTTCAAAGGGGGGGATGGGAGAGGGTTTGGATCTAGGCCTTTGCATGGGGAAAAGGTTCTTATGTCACCCTAAGCCAGGCTGCCCAACCCTAGCTCTGTACTGAAAGCCCCAAACAATAAGCAGCAGGAAGGGTATATGCCTGCCAGCCACTGCCAGCTTCCCCAGAACCAGAACATGGGCGTTTGCAGCGCTTCATTGGTAATGAAAGAGGTGCTGGGACTCAAGCAATTTTTTTACTTTCATAACTGATGTGGCAAGCCCAGAGGTACCGGGGCTCTGAACTGCCAAGTCTAGAGTACCGGGGCTCAGCCCTGGCTGCCCTTTGACAAGTCAGCATCTACCACAAAGCGATGTCACAGCTACCACAGAGCCCCAGAGCAGTGGGTATTAAATATATGGCACAGCTCTGAAATGTCACTCTCACACACACACACACCACTTTTCCAGCCTGTACTAAGCACGGGAGAGAGCCTCCACAGGGGCCTGATCCTCAGCTGGTATAAAGTGAGTCTAGTTCCACTGAAGCCAACGATGGAAGGAGTCAAACGGAGCTACATCCATTTACACCAGCTGAGCATGGGGCATGTGATTGCTATTTAGTAAAGGGCCCCGTTTCAACAAGTAAAACCCAGGGCACTGCACTTAGTCACGACAAACTATAAAATACAGATGCGTCCAGCACAGGGCCTTCTATATCAGGGTGTGCTGTAAAGAACTGGCTAGAGGTAGGGATGTGTATGTGTGTACACCCATACTGATTCCAGCTACAGGATGGAATTGGAACTGTTTACCTGTGTGGCATATGCCCTATATTGCTAACAGCTCATGGAGATTCTCCTTTAATGCTTTAGGAGCAGACTGCTATGCGTTCTATTCCTGCAGTCACTGGAAATTTCCCAGTGGCCATAGGGTGTAGTACAGGGACAAATGCAGAGTCCCTAGATGGCCATGGATTAGTTCCAGTCCAGTGCTCCGGAAGGGGCTGCCCTGCCTGGGTCCTGAGGGTAAAAGGCGGAGAAAAATGGTCAGTACCTGTCACCAAATAGAGGACGTTGTAGGTGTGTCCGTCTCTCGCCTGGATGCGGTGCACTCCGATTTTCTGGTAGTGATTCTTGTTGTGGAATAGGGGGCTATTCCTGGGGGCAACAGGCTGCACTCTTTCCTCCACCTCCGGGTGGAGGTCAGCTATTTTGAAAGTCTCAGGAGGGGTACGATTTCTGCCCCAAGGGCACTGAGCCAAGAGAAAAAACCATCACCACATTATCAGGGCTATCCAGATCCACAGGGAGACCAAGACATGGGTGAGCCATCTCCCCTGCTAATTCCCCAAGGGAGCCCCGGGACGAGGAAGCTGGTTACCAGGGATGTGCTCAGGCACCTGTGCTCTCTATGTCAGCAGAAAAGCCTCTGGGGAGAATTCCCGCAGCACAGCTGTGGCGTAAAGCAGCCACAGGCCACCCTCAATGCCTGGTGCCAGGGGCATGCCTGGGGGGCAGGCTCTGGAGGAAGCGGGGCCATAGCACAAAGCTTTAAGGCAATTCTAGGCAGCACTGCAGCCCGCTCAGGGTGGGCTGCCTAAACTTCGGCCCCTGGCACAGCCCAGACCCAGGAGGGTGCAGAAGGGGCTTAAACCACCATGCCACCCCCTGGGCTGGAAGGTTTGTCTCCAAGAGGCACAAGCAGCCCATATTTCAGAGGCCGTCCCTGGTTCCCACCAGGGAGGCATTAGCTAATTGGGGAGAGGGAACGTGGTTTCTGCAGCGGCTGCAATCTCGAATGCTCCAGAGATGTCAGTCAGACACACCCAGTGTCCCCCCTGATCCCCATGGGGACACGCTAACAGCCTGAGGCACAGGAGAGCCAATCACCCCCGTCTTCTCATGCAGTGGTCATAGTCTTATCCAGCCCTGTTATATCATAGAATATCAGGGTTGGAAGGGACCTCAGGATGTCATCTAGTCCAACCCGCTGCTCAAAGCAGGACCAATCCCCAGACAGATTTTTACCCCAGTTCCCTAAATGGCCCTCTCAAGGATTGAACTCACAACCCTGGGTTTAGCAGGCCAATGCTCAAACCACTGAGCTACCCCCTTTATATACATTAAGGACTGAAATGTGCCACTGTCACCTGGCCAGGAATTAGATTGTAAGCTCATTGGGGCAGGGACCATCTCGGCGGAAGTGCCCTAAAAGTGTGTGTGTGGGGGGGGGGCCACAGGTACCCAAGCACCCCCCCGCCGCCCCCCCCCCTCCCCCCCCCTTTCCCCCCCCCCCCCCCCCCGAGGTCCCGCTTCCCGCTCACTCCTCTCTGCCCCCTCCTCCTCCTGTTGCTCGCCCTTATGTCAGAAGTGGGAGGGCATAGTCCTCCTACTTTTAAAAAACCAGGAGTACTTGTGGCACCTTAGAGACTAACAAATTTATTAGAGCATAAGCTTTCGTGGGCTACAGCCCACTTCTTCGGATGCATATAGAGTGAAACATATTGAGGAGATATATATACACACATACAGAGAGCATGAACATTTGTTAGTCTCTAAGGTGCCACAAGCACTCCTGTTCTTTTTGCGGATACAGACTAACACGGCTGCTACTCTGAAACCTACTTTTAAAAGCGGGGGCAGGGGCATGGCCCCCTGGCCCTCCCTGTTCTGGCACCCCGGTACAGCACCTAGCATCATGGGCTCCTGGGCCCGCACTGGCCCCCCGCGACTAGAACTAATCAGTTTCCCCCATTTTACAGGGGGAGAAGCAGAAGCAGCACAGAGAGATGAGGGGACTTGCCTGAGGAAGAGTTGGGAATACAAGTCAGATCTTCCGCCTCCCGGTGCTTTAAGCATCAGACCACCCACCCAGAATGCCAGCTGTCACTCACCTGTCCAGGACGGATGTGGGGCATGTCCTTAGTGTAGCCTTTGAGTTTCGATGTCCGGAACACCGTGTCAATGTCACCGATGGTGTAGACGCAAACGGCAGAGTACCCCCTACAAGCAACGGAACAAACTAGGATGAGGGCCTGGCTGCCATTCTGCTACTGCTCAAATTCTTAGCCATTGTTTCTCCCAAGCTGGGGGGGTGGGGGGGGAAGGTTTATTACATAACCATGGATAGGGACACTTCTAACTATATCCCAGATACATCTCAGCCAATGAGAATGGAGGGATGAAGCAGCAAGTCAAAGCCATGTGACAGTGGACTAGTAACCATATGGGCCAGGATATATTAGCCAGGACATCCTAAACCTGAAACCGTGACTCAGGCAAAACTCCCACTGAAATTAACAGCAGGGGCACCAGGGCTGTGCTTAGTACAGAGATGCCGAAGTCTCTCTCTTCCCCAAGGGAAGATTGTCTATCTTAGGTACTTCTATGGCCCTGTTCCTGGAACCTCACAGTCTAATGGATTCCTCACAACCGCCCTGGGAGGAAGGGCAGTGTTGTTATCCCCATTGTACAGATGGGAAACTGAGGCACAGAGAAACTAAGTAACTTGCCCAAGATCACATGGGAAGTCGGCAGCAAAGCAAGTGAGGCTGCGTTGAGGAGGAAGAGGAAGGTCAGGGCTCCTGCAGGGGGAGAACTGCAGAGTGAAGCTGCAGGGAAAGGTGGTCTCCTGCAATGGTCCCCCAGGACAGGACATGTCCTCAGGAAGGAGGGGCTGAGCCCAGCTTAAGCCTGGGTGGATGATTGTGTTTGAAAACTCTTAATAAAAACCCAGACCCTCGGAAGGGCTGTGACTGAAAGAGACTGAGGAGTTTGTTGAAGGAGCCCTGGTGAAGAGGAAAACAGGAGCAGGGCACAGCAGAGGTGCCCCTAGCCCTGAAGGGGCACTTGGGTGGCAGCCGGCCCCATTACACAATAGGATCACATTGTAATGTGGCAGCAAATGCCATACCACTGGCATCTTCTCAGCATGCCGCTACCTCAGCGTCCAATGACACTGCTGTCAATACAACAGCCTCTCCTGACAGACCAGCAGGCGGGGAAAATAAAGGCTTTAATTGCCTTGCGTGCTCGTAAAAATTGGGAGAGTGCTGCCAATTTCAGGACATGCAAACACGAGCATCGCCAGGGTCTCTCTCCTGGATCTCACAGAGAAACCAGCTTTTCAAGAAGTGTTTGCTCAGCACCTAGCCCAATGGGACCCTGATCTCTGAGAAGAGCCTTTAGCCACTCCCATAATACTTTTCTCTTTCTCCCCTCCCCCCCCCAATGTCCTGCGCATCTCAGTGGTGTCTCAAATCAGCAGCATTAAGCACCATAATGAGAAACAGCAAGGGAAGAGTGCAAAGCAAGATTCCTTGAGCAGGGATTGCTGGAGGAAGCGCCGTACAGGAGCATGTTGACCCTGGAGTTAATAGTTTGTCACAGAGTTGACACTTGGCCTCTCCATCTGTGCATCCCTGGGAAGATGTGCCCCTGAAAGTCTTGACTCACACTGGGAGAAAGCAAGAGAAACAGACAGGATGGAAAGGAGCAGCAGACACCCAAGGGCTAGGCATCCCACTGAGAGGGCTCACCCCAGGATTACAGAAAAACAAAATAGCCCATAACATAAATACTACAGGGAGCGAAGGGAAAAACTATCAAGGTTAGGACCCAGAGTGGGCCAAGTTACTTGGGTTAGGTTAAGACATGGAGACCGTCCTGGCTTCACCCAGAACTGGCCCTAGTAGGGGCAGCCAGCCCTTTTTATCTGGCTTGCTGGGCCCTGATTGGCCTTTGTCTGCTCCCATCCCTTCTAGGCACCAGTGGATCAACTCTCACTGGTTCTGCCTGCAGCTGATCATGGGAGGCCTCTCTAGGCAGCCCCTAGCTGTCCGAACTCGCTGCTCTTCCCTCCCAGCAGGACACCTTCTGAAGGCAGAGTGCACCAAGGTGTTGGCGACCCCAACAGGGGGCAGTGAATGCCTGGTACACCCCATAACACGGCCCCAATCCTGCAAGGGATTGGGGCCTTGATGGGGATGAAGGTGCTCAGCACCTCCCAGGGTTGGGCCCACAAGCTGCCTTCTCTGATGGTGTGAGGAATAAAGCCACGGGTGGCAAATAGGAGCAGAGGATCATGTGCTTTCTGTCTCATGCCTTTCCCTCTCAGATATGAGGGAGCTGGGGTGAGTGGACCAGCTATCTAGCAGCCAGCTCCTGAGGTGCCTTTGAACACCCCTCCCCTCAGCTCTGAGGCGGTGACCTGTGTGGGCCTAGATACTCACCAGCAGTTAGAGAAGAGTCCATACACTCTGGTTTCCCTCCAGTTCTTGTCTGACGGGACAATGAAGACATCCTGCAGCAAGTCGAAGTTGCTCTTGGTGGCCGGGTCAACGCAGACCAGCGTGGCCTTCAGGAAGGTGGTCCACTTGGAAGCAGAGAGGGAGCTGGTGCCCCCTTTGTCTCCCTGGGGGACACAGCAGAGCCTCAGAGCCCATCCCAGAGGAGGGGGATGCAGAAGGGAATCTCTGGTACACCCCCAACCCCTTGAATGGCTCTCCATTATCTATCTATCGTACTTATATGCCCCCCCAATCACCACAGCATGTAAGCACTTCACTATCTTTAACGTGTTTATCCTCACAATACCCCCATGGGGTAGGGCAGAGCTGGTATCCCCATTGTGCAGAGGGAGAAAATGAAGGCACTGAGAGACTGAGGGACTTCCCCAAGGTCACACAGGACGTCTGTGGCAGAGCCATGTCCTGAGCCCTGGTTTGCACCTTGGACCACCAGACCATCCTTTCAGCTTGCTCCCTTCCAGCACTTCACTTCTAGGCAGGTCAGAAATCAGGGGGTGGTTACAAGCAAAATATGACCTATGGCAGCCAGGTTCTCTCTTCACCTCCAGCACTGCTTTGTAATGCCCACAGCAACCTCCTCACCACGTGGCCGCACCAGCTCCCAGGAGCAGGGGAACTCATGGAGGCAATGCCATTGGCTCCCACACTCTCTCTAACCCGCCCTGCCTGTGCCACCCTGCCTGCTCTATACCTTGCACAGCTGGGCCACTCTGGAGACTTTTAACGGGGCCTCGGGACTCTTGTCCGGATTGTCTTCTCGAAAGAAATAGTAGATCTTGTCATCATGGCGCTCATCTTGCTTGATGACAGTGGCTTTCACAAATGTTGGATCTGGAATGGAGGAGGAAGAGCTGTGAGAATGGGACAGACAAGCAGACATGCCCTAAGTGGGGGAGGGATAGCTCAGTGGTTTGAGCATTGGCCTGCTAAACCCAGGGTTGTGAGTTCAATCCTTGAGGAGGCCACTTAGGGATCTGGGGAAAAATCAGTACTTGGTCCTGCTAGTGAAGGCAGGGGGCTGGACTCGATGACCTTTCAGGGTCCCTTCCAGTTCTAGGAGATAGGTATATCTCCATATATATATAAAAAAACCCTCTCCTAATACAAGGGCATCTGTGACAACCATCACCAGGGATTGAACCAGGGACCTCTAGGACTTAAACAAGTGAACTTCTGCATCTGGAGCTGAAGAGCCATGCTACAAAGCCAGGAACTGAAACCAACTCAGATCCTCTATAGATCATTCACAGAGAGACCACCCCTGACACACTCATCAGTGGCTTACCCCGTTCCAACACCCTGGTTTAAGGCTCTGAATCTTGCCTTTTGCAGCTTCCTTGAAATGTCAAGGCTTTGGAGTCGAGCTCAGTCGAGTCCCTAGGCTGGTTAGCATGGAAGGAAACCCGTTCCATGGAGACAACGGAGTGCGTGGAGGAAATGCCACGGCATGGAAAGGAGGCCCAGCGGGCTTTGCAGTTGTTTGTGTTTAACTGGGGAAGTCCGGAAGGCTGGTAATGATGCGAGAGCCCTATTAATACACCTCCCTGGCTCCATGAAGTCAGCTGGAGGGGAGCGCTGAGGCTCATTACTTCGTGTCCCCCAGCACGGAAGAACCTGATTACGTGATGCCCTGGGAGCATCTGCTTTGTTTGCTTCTGCTGGCTCTGTGTTTGCACTTGACTTGCTGCCATTTTTGGCCCTCATCTGTGATGGGGATAAAATCCCCTCGCCAGGTGGAAACCCCTGACTCTTCCCTTTGCCAATCCACCAGCAGGGTGGGAGGGAGGGAAGAGGATGCTTTCCAGATTTGGGTTCATTACCAGGCCCCTGGCTGGAGCTATAGGAGCAGCAGTCTTTGGGCTCCACCAGGTGCCCATTTATGGCCAGATGGGCGACTGAAGCTCTCTGCTCTGTTGCCATGGGACAGGCAGTGATTGCAGCTGCCAGGCCAATTAAACAGCTGCATTTCCTTCCGCCTTCAGACACGGGATCCTGCGTCCGTTTTTTCAGTTCTCTTTCCACAGCTACTTCTGTTTTCCCCAACCCCCCCCCCACCTCACGCTGGAGGAACGGTTCCTCTGCAGCCACTGCCCAAAGCATTTTGCACAGCACTGGCATTTAATCCCCATCATTACAGGGATAACTTCCCCAGTGCAGCTAGAGCAGGGGTCCTGGGAGTTGCTGTTTCCCTGTTTGCTAGCAATGGCTGGGGCCAAATAACAGGTGGAAGTTGTTTATCACTCTAAGGGCTGGTCTACACCCAGCCGCTAGTTCGGCGACTGGGGATCGAAGTTCTGGGTTCGACTTATCACGTCTGGTCTGGACGCGATAAGTCGAACCAGGAAGTGCTCGCCGTCGACTGCGGTACTCCAGCTCGGCGAGAGGAGTACCGCGGAGTCGACGGGGAGCCTGCCTGCCGCGTGTGGACCGCGTCTGAACCGCGGTAAGTTCGAACTAAGGTATGTCGACTTCAGCTACGTTATTCACGTAGCTGAAGTTGCGTACCTTAGTTCGACTTGGGGGGTTAGTGTAGACCAGGCCTAAGGATGCCTTATTGTTCAGTGCTGAAAAGAGCAGGCCAGGAAATGCTTTGATTTCCTCTGCTCCAGCGTACGGCAGCCTCCCCACGGCTACCTAAGGAGACTGCCTTGCCTGCACAGTCCCACCCCCTGGCATGCTGCTGCTGCGCTTGAGGACTTGTCCCAAGCCACTTCCTGACCCTGTGCAAGTGCAACCCCTGAGCAGCAGGTAGGACTACAGTAGGGGGCAGAGAATGCAGGACGGCTTGCGGAAAGAGAACAAGGTGGAGACACCCTTACATCCCAAGATCTTCCTCCTGCTGGGCTTAGCCTGGCAGGCACCCCCAGGCCCAGGGGCTCTCTGCCATACTCACTCTGCATCACTGTGTCGCTGGTGTAGAGCTCCCCAGTCCCTCGGACCTGGCGGAAGCGGGGTATCTTCCCATTGTGCTGGTGCAAGCTGATGGTGGAATAGATGGCTTCATCTGCAAGATGGGAAAGATTGTTTGCAGCCGACTGGTTTTTAGTTCTGCCAGTACTTGCCTGGGGAGTATTTTTCCCTCAAGAGATCTAGCACTGGTGAAAGGAGCCAGGTTGATAACCCTGGAGGGCGGATTCCCCTCAGATCCAATGAGCAGGCCTGCCCTGGGTCATGGTAGTGCCAGGTCAGCCTGCATCAGCCCTGGACTAGCAAAGAGCTCATTCTCCAAGGCCCACTCACGCCGTGGCTTCTGCGCTGGGCCAAGCCCTGTCAGTTGGGGTGGGGAGGGGGGCTGGCTTTGGATACAGACACTTGTCCCCTGGGGGCCAGAATCAGCAGCGTTGCCCCTTAGCAAAGGAAAGAAACAATTCAGCAAAGCCATGGAAGCAGCTCTGGTTTCCCAGGGGCAAAAGAGGAGGGGAAGGTTTCAGGGGAGAATGGCATTCACAGCAGCCTTGGACGGGGCATGGGGATGAGCTCCCCACTCCACTGCCTTCTCCCCTGGGCATAGGGCTCAGTGCCAGGGGCGGCAGGTTATATGGGCTCCTGGTGCCCGAGCACCAGGAATATTCAAGGCTGGGGGCTGTGCTCCACCAATATCTGGAGCTGGGTTTCTCCCCTGGACATGCCTGGGGCGGGCACCGGCCCCTGCTGCCGCCACCCACTCCCCCCCGCCACCCCAGTAGCGTAGCTGGGGGGAGCAGCTGCTCCCCTCTGTGCACATTTTCTAAAAGCGGCGCCTTTCCAGTTTCCAGGCAGCCAGCACTGGGCTCCGGACTCGGAGACTGGAGCCAAGTTTTGCATGTGGCCGCCGGCTGGCTCTGGGCGCCGCGCCGCACCGCCCCCCCTGCATCCCCAGCCCAGCTCGCTGGCTCTGGGGCTGCAGGCAGCGTTGGCTGGTTGCTGGGCTCCCTGGGAATGAGGAGGAGGAGGCTCCCTAAGACAGGGTGGGCTCTGCTGGAAGGGGAAGAGGTGGTAGCGCAGCCCCCCTGCGCAGCGGGGGGCTGAGGAGCAGCAGCCCCATGCAGAGCGAGGCAGCTGTGCGGCAGGGAAGGGGGCTCTGAAGCCCAGCTGGTGCCGGTGGAGAAGGAAGGAAAAGGGGGGTGGGATGTTTTTTCCTCGTGGTCTCTCTTCAGCGGAGGGGGCTGAGGAAGCGGCAGGACCAGGAGGCAAAGGAGCGACTTTGGGTTATTGCCCCCCCATACTTACTCCCCCCTCGGTGCTGCGCCCTGGGCTGTGGAACTGTGCTTAATGCAGCTTGTGAAGGAAAGAGGGGGGTAAATGTGCTTTAAGGCGCCAGTTATGTCTCCTCAGTCTCACTGCTGACTAGCTGCAGACCCAGGGCTCAGAATTAAGCAGTGTTCTGAGGGACTGCACAGACGCTATACTAGTTTTCAGTTGCCTGCTAAATGCTTCAGCCATGCCACCTTTTCACTTAGCTATCTCCTGAATAGTGGTGACTGGGAATGGGGGGTGGGGGGAGTGTAGCAGATGCCAATTTGAGGTGAATAGTCTCTTGGACAGATTCTACTGGGTTTATGGTGCTTTGTGCTATGGACTGGAGCAAAGTGGCTGGTGAATAACCAGGAATCTGGTTAATAATTATTCTCTAAATTCAGTTTTCTTCTTTCTCTCTCTGTGAATTATCACTAATTCAAAATAGTAGTGTGCAAGTTGACTGGATAATGGTAATAGCATAATCTCTTGTTATAACATTGTAAACCCTACTACCTGATTAGTAATTTGATATGTCGGGTGGCGCCTTTTTTTATGTGTTCACTCCCCCGGATGTTAGAACCTGGCTACGCCACTGGGGAGGGGGACTTCCTAGACCTGAGCAGCTGGGGCTTGGGTGAATTTTGTGACACCCTGCCCCCCCCCCAGCCACCACCCTGTAGTCCCCACTCCTGCCCCACGCTGGGCAAGGGGCAGCCCCATCCCCAGTGAGGCTATGGTGAGGGGCAGCAGCAGGGGAGGCCACACGTGATGGCAAACCCCCCCGCCCCGGTACCCACCATAGGGGAGGCGAGTGGGCTTTCTGGACCTGAGAGAGGCCCTAGGAGCATGTGCAGTAACCGTGGTGCAGAGTGAGTGTGCTGCGGGGGAAGAGGAGGGGTCCCTCCCCTGGAGCTTGCTGCTGCCAGTGGGGGGTGAGTCCTCTCTGGCCCTAGCCCTGGGGCAGCCTGTCTGCACCCCAAGTTTCTCATCCCCAGCCCTGTCCCACCCCAGAGCCTGCGCCCCCAGCACCCCAACCCTGAGCACCCTCCTACACTGTGAACCCCTCATCCCCAGCCCCACCCCAGAGCCCTCACCTGGGGGGAAAAACACACAACTTAAAGTTGGTGGTCAGTTTGGAGTATCATTGTGTTTAGCACAATACTTGATTATTTTACACCCTTTAAAGTATATAACTAGTCGTATACAGGTGTTACAAAGTGGGAATGTTCTTAATGTTTTCTCTGAATACTGTGTGGGTGCCTCAGTTTCCCCTATGCATTTCTTAAGGATCTAGATGGTGGGATAAGGGGGTGTGATTGTTGTAGAGCCCTAGAGGACCAGTGTGATGGTGTCTGCACAGAGAATGGCCGAAACCCTGTCTCTGGACAACTAATGGCCTGGGCCGCTCTCCTGCAAGGTGCCAACTGAAGGTGTTGGAGAACAAAGATCAGATGGCCTCCTAATGCCTGGAAAAGAGACAAAGGCCAGAGGAGGGAGTGTTAGTGCCTGTGCGGTGTGGAAGGGGATTCTGGGATGCTCTGGAACCACTCCTTCAAAGCCAGTCAGGACTCTGGGGGAGCCTCCTCTCCCTGAGCATACTGTCTCCAGGGCAAGAAGCTTACACCTTCCTGGGTCTGACCTCGGAGCATTCAGCATGAGCTTCCACACCATGCTCTTCCCGCAGCGAGTCTGCCCAGGCAGGTCCTGGGGCAACCAGAGGTCCCTGCACCCCAACTCTGCAGTCAGACATGACTCTCAGCCAGCCGGGAAAACAGAAGGATTATTAGACGACAGGAACACAGTCTAAAACAGAGCTTGTAGGTACAGAAAACAGGACCCCTCAGTCAGGTCCATCTTGGGGGGTGGGGAGCCCAGACCCAAGTTCTGGGCCTCTCCCCATTTCCCGAGCCAGCTCCAAACTCACACTCCCTCCTCTGGCCTTTGTGTCTCTTCCGGACAAGGAGGCTATCTGATCTCTTTGTTCCCAACACCTTCAGTTGGCACCTTGCAGGGGAAACTGAGGCACCCACACAATATTCAGAGAAAACATTAAGAACATTCCCACTTCGTCACAACAGGTGCAACAAAATATAATACTGTATATTGAAGCAGGCAAGTGCTGCTTCTGACTTTCCACTTTTAAATGACCCTTGTAATCTTGTGGCGCCGACGTGTTGTAGCTTCATTTTATCCCAGCAACAAATTCTTGATTTGTAGGACCACTAATAATCAACAATGGATTTTTTTCATAGTGATATTGTGCAATAAAGAGAAACATTGCACTTAAATGCTTACGGCTTTCAGTCCATGTTTACATTATTTAATAAAATATATATATCGGCTTACAGGGTGGGAGCGGGGGCGGGGGGGGCGGCACCACCATTTTGGGCACCACCAAAAATTATACAAACCTGTCGCCTATGCTCAGTGCTGAGAGGTAGATGTGGGGATGGGAGAAAACCAAGGGCCCCAAGATGAGGCGGAATGAAAACTGGCGCCTGGAAGCCGATCACAAGGGCTGAGCCTTTGTATGCCTGCCTGGGTGAGGAGGATGGGGCCAGGCCCCCTGCGAGACGGCAAGAGAACCCACCGGCCTCCCTTCTTTGGGCAAGTGGATGAGGCGTTGGCAATGCCAGACTGCCCAGCAGCTTGGGCACGAGTGACAGGGGAGGGTTTGCAGGGTTACTGCCCGTCACCATGGACTCTGGCCAACCCTGGCAGGACAGTCCCAGGCTCCCTCCTCACACTGCTCCAGAGATAGGCTCTAGCCCAGCCCTGAGGTGGCTCACCCTCTCCTGAGGGGATCCCATCTCCCTCGCTGCTGGGCTTCTTCAGCTGCTCTGACGCTAGACTTAATGGGACTGACCCTGCACTGGGGGCCCACGACATCACCCTGTTCTTGGTCGGAGGGCAATGCCCACTTCATGCTCATTCCACCTTGAGCTTCTCCCCAGCACGGAGATCTAAGGCCTGTCCTCTGACCAGCACCAGGCCAATTTACAGACCAGCGATGGCACGGCATGGAGTCGGCACCGTTCCCCCAAAGCCCCTCCCCCAGGAACATGATCACATAAACAGGCAAAGCCAAAGACCCTGGGCCAGCCACCCAACTGGTGGAAATCAGCGTGGCTCTACTGACTTCAGTGTTACACCAGCTGGGGACCTGGCCCTGCGGTTCTACGGGCCGAAGAACAGACACAAGCATTTGGACTTACCATCAACAAGGACCAGGGAGTTCTGGTTAGGCACAAAAGGGGCCAAGCCCTGCGCAGCCACTTCAGATTTATTCCGATCGGCCTGGGGAGGGCAGAGGGAACAATTAAGAGTCATTGTTGGTAGGAGGGGTTCTGGCACCTTGTTGTATTCTCCCAGCAGAGTAAAGCAATCAACATCTGCTCCAAGTCCCCTCTGGGGCAAGAGATTACCTACCCCCCCCCAGCATCTGGACCTAGCATGTGCTCTGGCTGCAGGCTGTCTCATGCAGAGCTAGACTGGGTTGGTGCACCAGGAAGCTCAGGAAAGGTGTTTCCTGTGAGTTAAGGCTGGGGGGCGAGGGGGGTCAGGTCACGTGCTCCAAGAACAACTCTGGCATCAAAAGCTAACTTGGAGGAACATTTACAGACAAGTGCATTGACTTGGCTGGTGTTTTCCTACATTCCCCTTTGCTGTTACTCACTAGAGATGCGCGATCCTGCCTGTCCTCTGCCACAGACTGGATTTCCCAGGCGGGAGCAGAGAGTGGGTTCTGTCATGGACTATTAAACTCAGCTTCCACATAGGCTTTCCCCACATAGGCTTCAAAGCACTTTGCAAAGGAAGGGGAGCGTGATCATCATCTGCATTTGACAGATGGGGAAACTGAGGTACAGACAGGCAGAGCAATTTACTCTGGTCATAGGGCAGGTGAGTGGGGACAGAACCCCAGGTCCAATGGAGAAGACACTGGACTAAGCATCAGGTGACCCAGGTTCTAGACCTGCTCACCTGCAGGCTGAGCAACAAACTCCCTGGCTTACCAAGTTCCAGCAGGTGGGCTTGCAGGCATTTGTCCCACATATCAACAGCATGTCGTGGTACTTGCCAATGAAAGTCAGGTAGTTCTTCTTCTCCTCCTGGAAAAGAAAAAGGGGTACATGAGCCACGGTAGATGGTTTAGTGAATCCCAGCTGCTCCAGGCCCAACCTTAGGAGCCCTGATAACACCACTAGGCTGGAGGAGACACCAGGATTTTTCTGGGTATTAAAGCCAGGAGGAACCATTCCCCATTGTGATCATCGGCTGTCCTCCTGATACAACACAGGCCAGAGAATTTTACTCAGGAAGGGGACAGCAGGATTAGAACACCCTCCAGAGCTCCAGTGTGGGACTCTCAGCCACCCCCACCCCGTAGCACAGAACTGACTCAATCTCCTAATTATACAATCCCCATATTAATGGAATTTGGTAACTTCATGTCTCCTGTTCACCCCCGTCCCACCAGAATTTCCCACCCTGACCCTCAGTTCTTCTGACCCGTGTTCCCCCTGACTTAAGCCTACATCCTCCACCCTTCTAAGTTAGGGTGACCAGATGTCCCAATATTTGGGGCTTTTTCTTATATAGTCACCTATTACCCCACTCCCCATCCTGATTTTTCACACTTGTTATCTGGTCCCCCTACTCTAAGTGTCCATCAAAGTTCCTTCTACGCTGGGTGGCTTAGGAGTCCTACCGCTGAATGGAAAAAGTGTGCTAACAGAGCAGAGGTGAGAGTTATAAGGGCTCCTCTGGGCTATCTGGAAAACTCCTGATATTTCTCAGAGAGCTAAATCCACCTGGTGAGATCTCCAGACTTACTGGTTTTTGGCAGGCTCCTGAATCCTGTTCTGGGAAGTCCTCCTAGAGAAAAGGAATAAGCGTGGGTTAGTTCCTCCCCTTGCTAAACAACTGTCTGGAAGTGAATGACAAATGCTGGCAAAGTTCGGTGAACCCGTGTGCCACCCACGGACTCAGCTGGCCAGGAAGATGGGGTGGCTGCCTGGCTGGGTTAACACTGATAGTCGGCACTTTCCCAATGGTTCCCATGTGGAAGCTGCGGTGTTGGGAGCACTTGGGAGGCTGGGCCGGTTCAGGGCCAGGTCTGGGAGTTTGGGATAAATGGAGGTAGAAGCGGGGCCGTAGGTGGGCAGAGGGCATAGCTGGGGGAACTAGTAGTGGGCTCAGGTCAGGATGCTGTCAGAAGGATGTCAGGAAGGGCTCAGGTCTCTTGCTGGGGGAAGTGAGTAGGCATCAGTGGCTGGGTAGAGGAGGGAGTGGTAAGAGGAACTGGGGTTTTCAGAGAGTTAACCAGACTGTCCATTTGTATGACAGCAAGAGGAGTGGTGTCTGTGCCTGACCCCTCAGGGGTTAACTTGCCAGTGGGAGTGGAAGTGCGTGGAGACAACTGGAGAAGACATCACCCATGCTCCCACTGCCCAGTCCATGGTATAATTCGGAGCCCAAACCCCATTGGTCTCCATCATCAGTGATGTCACTGGCTAGTGTATGTGACATCAGAATCACTAACGCGGAGGTCAAACACTGGCTGGTCAGATCCCTAGATAGATTGTGCAGGGTGGTTAACCAGAGGGATTAAAGCACGGGGCTGGGTGTTGAGACACTGGCCTTCTCTTCCCAGCTTTGCCCCGACTTGCTGGAGGAGGCTGGGCAAGTCACTAACCTGCCCTGTGCCTCTGTTTCCCTAGCTATGCAATGGGGAGAATGTGGCTGAATGACTTCACAGTGAGCTTGGGAGGCTAAGCCATGCACATCTGTAAAGCCTCCTTACCATGTGGTTACTGGAGCTCTCAAAGTCGAAGTAGTAGAGCTTTCCCTCCGCTCCCACCAAGAGAGAGGAATTCCCCTCCTCATGGTAGAGAGTTAGGAGATTCTCGTGCTTCTCCAGCGGAAAGCGTCTCTCCCCTAGGAAACACAACAAAGAAGAGACTCAGCAGGAGTGTCCATGAATCCAGCAGGATCGTTGTCAGATGACCAGCCACCCTGCCCCACTGAGGAACAGGGAGTACACACACTGATCTACGCCTCTCAGCTAGTTACTCCCTTGCCACATGGTAAACCCAGCTGCAGAGACACACCCAGATCAAAGAGACAGTCACCAGGTGCAGTCATCAGTAACGCCACACCTGGCGGATGGGCTATCTAGTCTGGTACTCGGTGCCTTTCAGGAGATGGCCCTAATGCCCATTGCACACTCACATGTGCCATGCTGCACTGTGGGGTGGAATCACTTCTTGCCCTCACTTGTCCACCAGCACAAGGCTGGAGAGCTCTCGTCAGCTTCCTCATAGCAAGTGAAACTGCAGAAACTGCGCACATTGGAGGGAGCGTGTGCCAGCGATTAGGGCAGCCTCACACATTTACCAGCCCCGGCCTAAAAACACCTACTCATGTGGCACAATGAGACAAGTATCTGGCCCATGAGAAGAAAAATAAATGGCTTTCCTCAAGTCAAGGAGAGCCAGGCCAGGTGGGGGCAGAGCAGGGGTCCGGAAATTGGGGCTCCTGGCTTCTAGTCCTGCCTTTCTGTGCCCTCCCCCATTGTACCAGAGCCTCAAAGCATATTGAAACAGAGTCTCTGCTACAGAGGGGCGCTAATGCAGCCATGAGCAGGGGCCCTGTATGGGGTGTGCAGCATGTATAGACACTGTACTGTGGAGCAATTCCTGTTGGGGGTGGGGCAGGGTTTAATTCGGGTCAGATAAGCCCCCAGCAGCTCAGATGCTTTTAACTCAGCTGTGCCCGTTGGGAGCTAGAGGCCTGAGAACCAGCCACGTCTCCACTTTTGCCTAGCGAGGGTGGGCAGTGCCCATCTCCTGGCACTGATCACACTGGCATGGTTCAGCCTCCAGCACAGAGGCACCTGAGCCAAACCCCTGCAAGCGGCCGCCCCAATCTTTGAGGGCACTCGGAATCCAGCCCCCCCCCCCACCTCCCTCAGATCCACAACGTTTTGCAACTGGCCTGTAGCACAGGCCAAACCCCCAGATCCAGCCACCCCCAGATTGGGGGGGAGGTGGGAACAATCCAGATCCAAATGCAGGGGTTCAAGTCTCTCTACCTACCACACCAACAGCCACCCTCACTCCCACCCGCACACTGGTGTCTGCCAGCTGATGTCTCTCACTTCTGGCTCAGCATAAACAAGAAGAGAGCTAGAGAAGCAAGGCGGAGACAGACACAGAAAGGGCAGGGAGGAGCCGGATGCCCTTGCAGGGCCTGATGGAAGGGAGGGGTCAAGAATATTTGATGCAGGAGGGCAACGGATCAGAGTGGCTTGTCACTGACTCCAAAGCAGCTAGGTTATTGCTCTTCTTCCCAGGCACCGCTAATTGCGCTGTGCATCTGACCCTTCTGTGTGCAGAGCAGGAAAGAGGATTACACAACTGCTGAGAAACCGGGGGAAGAACAGATGAGATTACAAGGCTGCAGCCCTCCCAGGCAGATGGGAACAACATGGCCAGACAGCCAGCATCCAGCCTTGAATCTGCCTGCCAGTGCCAGCGTTGCAGATTAGCCTCCTCCCTGCCTGTCCTCCCACAGGGCCAGAGTTGATTCTTGGCTCTTAATCATACACTGCTCCCCCTACAGCAGCTCCCCACTACCTCAGAGTGCCAGGTAAACAAATTAACCAAACCTCACAAACCTAGAAACTAGGTCACCCCGCTTTGCACATAGAGAAACTCAGGCAGGCCAAGCAGCGACGGGACCTTCCCCGCAGCAAGCCAGTGGCAGAGGTAGGAACAGTCCCTGCTCTGCGACTTACAGGCTCTGTGCTCTAACCACTAGCCCACACTGTTCCATTTTGCTGTGCTCCCATGGCTCTTTCCCACCCAAGATCTAATAGGCCAGAGGCAGCACGGGCTAGGTCAGGCCCCTGACACTGCTGAGTTCTATTGCTGACGCCATCAGTGGCCAGGCACATGCTGTCCAGCACTGCTGAGCCAACACCACCTCTGAAAAATCAGACTGTTGTTCCATGGCCAGGGGAGCCCCTCCTGCTCCCTGTGCCTCATGAGGGTAATAAAACTCACTACTGGGGAGGTGGCCTGGGGTTTACAAAGTGCAGTGAACTTAGCAAGCCCAGTCCCAGTGGGGAGGAGGATTGCTATTTATTCTTTGCTGACGCAGCAGTGCGCCGAGGGGCATTAGTGCAACAGCTGAGCTGCTGCGAAGATCCCTTCCCTGGAGAGGCTGTGGTGCGACTGCGTTGGTTACAGGACGGGGAATCCTCATTGCCAAGTCGACCTGTGATGATCACCCTTCCTGGGATTTGTTAGGTTCTGCTCCAGCTGGGCTGGGCTTAGAGGGAAGCTCTGGGCTTCTTCCTCTCCCCGGGGCAAGGGCCTCTCCTGTTGAGTCTCATGTCACAGCTGGCTTTGTGCGGTCTCAGGTCACAGCTGGGTTCTCTAGCAGAGTTCCCCTCCCACATCTCCCTTTGATGCCTGACCCTCCAGGCCTGGAGCCACAACCAGAGCAGAGAGGCCTGCAAATTCAGCCTCCAAGTGGGGGTGATGTCCCTGGGCAGCGTAGCTGCATCTGTGCCCCCGAGGGGGTGTCTATAATATAGTCTAAAACAGGGGCATGCGCTAGTCAGATCCCTCCACCGTAGCCACATCACTGCAAGCTCACTCGGATTGCAAACTGCAGGCTGGCCGCAAGACTTAGTGGGGAGCTAAACAGCAGCCTTGATGAAGAACATAAAGCCACTGGCCACCATCAGAAGCGGTATTCCCCGCCAGCACACAAAGGGTTAACAACGAATGCATTGCATGATTTGTGCCCCCCCCCCCAAGTTGCAGCAGGTTGCTACAGGCCAGAGCCTTCCTTGGCTGGCCTGGTACACTGTCCTGCTTGCTAGTGAGAAATCTCCCTGCTCTCCACTCTTCTTCCTCTATTGCAGTGTAGTCGCTCCTTTCTGCTGTGAGCTTCCTCCCAGCGGTGCCCTGCCACTAGCAGCGGACAGGAGGATCTTAGTTTTTCCTAGACTGGGGGCTGGGGCCGTATCACCATCTTCTCTATTAAGAGCCAGCCAGGAACACTTAAGTTGCTGTGTCCAAACTATTCAGAGATCTGTCATTGTACTGACTGTCTCTTACCCTGGCCATCTCGCTGTCCTGGTCTACACTTGGGCCTGCATCTTTTTAGCTAGGTTGGGGGCTAGAATCCCAGCCTAGACAAAGCCCGATGCGTGCGGCCGTATGGGAAGTCTGCAGTGATGCTGCCTGTGCTTTGCCCAACAGAGGGTCTGCCCTCACCACAAGAGCTGTGCATGGGCTAGCCTGCCTTGTTCAGTGAAGACAGCTGAGAGAGAGTGCGGCCTGGCGGAGACTCTGGGTACGTACTCGGCTTGGTTGCCCACACTGCGCTGTCTTCACTGCTAGCATTACCCACGTTAGCTGGACTCCAGCTGGCTCAGGAGGCTAGCCCGGGCCCAGACGGCACTGTGGAGATAGACTGGCTTGTTGGGTCTTACACCAGCGGGATGTTCGCTTTCAGCCCAAGCAAGCCCGTTCTTTCCTACTGAGAAGAATCAATCATCGGTGCGCATTGAGCCTCGAGTACAGGAGAAGGGGGCAGGGGAAAGTCTGCATCCCACATGAGCCAAGGGGAAAAAGGCCCCCCGAGCAAGGAAATAAATCACCGGCACGTGCCTCTTGATTGACAGAGTCAATGCGCAGTGCGGGCAAAGGGCAGGCTGCACACGACCGAGCTTCCTGCCAGGCGCCTTCAGCCACTGCACAGGCTGCCTGCCTGTCCAGCACAGCTCCAGTACTCAGCAAAACAGAGGGCGCCTTGATTGTTCTGGTGGCTGCATTGTCTTCTCTGTGCTTCCGCCTCAAAAGCGGCAGCACCTGGGATTCCAGCATTGTGAGCTTCCTCCCAGCAGTGCCCAGCTGGGACTCGGCATTGTGAGCTTCCTCCCAGCAGTACCCGGTCAATGCCACTCAGGAATCGAGCAGAGTGAGCACTTCCCTGGTAGTGTTGGCCAAGACTCCAGCAGTGGCTTGTCAGTGCCAGACCCCAGCAGTGTGAGCTTCCCCATATCGCTGCCCATTTGAGTGTGGGCCCTGCCCCATTGTAAACCCTGTACTGGACCCTACACATCACCTACTGAGGCAGTGTTGTACCTTCAGGTCACTACACGCTGTGCCATGATGCTGCGACACGAGATGGCCAGGTTACCCCTCCTCCCTGCAAACAGAGGGCTCACCTCACCCTGCAGGCTAAGCTTGCAGGAGGCAGGACAGAACCACGAGAATGGGTGCACGATCCTTGTATATCCACAGTGGTCTGTATCGCCGTGCCCCAGCCCCCTGATTCTGCATCTTCACCAGAGGGGTTAAATTCCTCCCGCTCAGCCATTTGTACCGTCCCGTCAGCCTCTAGCGCAACTCTCTGTGGCTGCGCTGATCACCGCTTACTGTCAGCCAGTTTGGTCAACTGCAAGTCACTTCTAGGAAGCTCAATGCCCACCACATCCAGATGGAAAATGCAGCAAACCTCAAGCATGCGGTGTTGTGCAAGTCAATTGCAATCACAAAAGGGTTTGTGGGAAGAGGTCAGGGCAGCTCTGGTATAGTGCTAGAAAGTACCATCCCTTCACAGCTTGGGAGAGAACGGTACATGGGGTTGCCTGCACACAATGCTCGTACAAATGCAGCCTGCTTGCTGACATGACCCGGTTGGGGTCTCCTACAGGATTTGCCCTCTGCATTCCCACAATGCTCCTTGCCCGAGCACCGTCTGTCTCGTGGCCTGGGTGGCTTTGCAGGCCAAGTTGCTCCTTGGCTGATCCCTTTTTTGCAGATCCAACAACTTGGGCATGTTCAAAGTGTTGGGTCCATGTTCACTGCTGAATCTTCACCAGACTGAAGACAGATGCAGACACTGAAGCACGGGGA